CCCCAAAACCCCAAAACCCCAAAACCCCAAAACCCCATTTAGTTTCCTTATCATTGCGATTATAAAATAATTAGAACTTATGTTAAAGAAGTTGATATTCAACAGAACTTTCACAGAATGAGAGTCTGAAAAAGAAGAAACTAAGGAACCTCAGAAAAATGAAAAAGTGCTCATAATTGGAAGTGGCATGTTGGGTATCACTTCAGCTTACTTTTTATCGAAAAGAGGATGTGAGGTCACTGTGATTGATAAAGATAACCCTATTAGAGGAGCTACTGAACAAAATGGAAACACTGTCACTTTTATTCCATATCCAGCTTGGACCACAATGAATGTAAAGCAAGTAATCAAGGATACTCTTACTTTCAGTTCTACCCCTCTGTGTTATTTCAGGCTTTCTCTACTTCTTGACAGCCATTTCAGATTTTGGGTTAGGAAATATTTTAAAAACAGGAACAGTGAAAGTGTGAAGCAATCGAATGCTGCTTTAGCAAGGCTCACTAAGTTCAGTATTTCATTGTTCGACAAATTTATCGATGACTGTACTGAAAATAATCCAGATCTGGTAGAATACCACTTTGAAACACTTCATGCAATCTATAATGGGTTAAGTGAAAAAGAAATCCAAGAGAAGAGAGAACTAGTAGAATACATGAACAAGTTTGAGGAAGGGACCAAGCTAGTCTCTCCAGAAAGATATGGTAAGCTCCTACTATTCTTCATTGCTAAATCTCCTTCTAGATGCTAGTTTTGCTTACAACATCCCGCTCAGATGTTTTAATACTGGAAGATTTGTGAATTACATGAGAACTAGACTCTCAGAGAAGCACGGTGTTCACTTTTTGGACGGAGAAATTAAGGCAGTAACCTGCTCAGATTCCCAAATCAAGTCATTAGAGTACTCTGACTCTAACTTAGAGACCAAGACTCTTGAAGGCTTTGATAAATACGTAGTCTGTGCTGGAATTGAGTCTGTAAATATTGGAAAAATGGTGGGATTGAAGGTTCCGCTCATGGGCTTCAAAGGTTACAGTCTCAATGTCTTTGTTGAAGATAAAGAAATCCCAGAGTTCAGCTCCATTCGTATGCCAGAAACAATCTGCATTTCGAGAGTTGGATATAACACAGGTGGGATGGTCAGAGTCACGGGATTTGCTGATATTGATGGTAATAATATCGACCCAGTCCCTTGGAGAAAAGATATGCTCATCGAAATGGCTAAAAAATTTGTGGGTGAAGACGCTTATGATGAATCCAAAGCTAGTCATTGGGTCGGCTTAAGACCTCTATGTGCAGATGATGTACCTCTTATTGGAAAATCTTCTAAATTTAATAACCTGTTCTGGAACACAGGACATGGTCCTAGAGGAATTACTCAATCAGTTGGATCAGCTCTCCTTCTTGACTCTCTTATATCTGGCCATGAAATTCCAAAGGATTTAGTTGCTGAGGACTACAATCCTAAAAGATTTGACATCTAGTTAACTTAACAGATTTCAATCGTTTTGGCAAAATTTGGGGTTTTGGGGTTTTGGGGTTTTGGGGTTTTGGGG